CTATATCTACTTTTACTTTACCCTTTGTTTTTCATGGAACTGTACAAGTTTCTCCCCAATTCTATCTTTTCTAACTTTTCAGTCAAAGGATGTTAGTCTCATTCTTCACCACACTTCCTATCACCCTCCATGTTACAGTAATATTAGGTCTAGTAATAATTAATGTCGTTTTCTAATACTTTTTTTAAGTCGAATTTATTTAAACAATACAACAAAATTTAATCAACAATATAGTTGCCGTTGTTTTCTACTACTTGTGCCCAATGCTCAGGAAGCATTTTAATCCCTCTGTTGTAAAATTCTTGTGATTTTGATGCAAAAAATTCGGTCAATGCATTTTTGAGGCATTCTTCATTATTAAATTTTTTTCAAAGAAGAAAGTTTTGCAAAGAACGAAACAAATGGTAATCGGAAGGGGCAATATCAGGAGAATATGCAGGTTGAGGGAGAACTTCCCATTCCAACTGGCACAGTTTTTCAGCAGTGATTCTTGCAGTATGCGGTCGTGCGTTATCGTGGTGAAGAATTGCGCCCTTCCGATTAATCAGCGCGGGTTCTTTTTCTCTTAAAGCTTGGGCTAACCTTTCCAATTGGGCACTATACACTGCACTTGTAATGGTTTGGTTAGATGATAAAAGTTCATAATGAAGAATTCCTTTAAAATTCCACCAAACACACAACATCACTTTTTTCGCATGCAAGTCAGGTTTTGGCGTGGGCTGCGGAGCCTCATTTTTGTCCAACCATTGAGGCGGCCTTTTCAAATTAACATACAGCTCCCATTCTTCATCTCCGGTAACAATTTGCTCTAAAAACGGCAAACGGTTTTGACGAGAGAGGAGCAAACTGCAAATTGTGACTCTTTGATTACGGTTGTTGTTGGTCAACTCATGAGGAACCCATTTTCCAAACTTTTGGATTTTGCCAAGTGCACGCAATTGATTGGAAATTGTTTTTTGTGAACAATTTAAAGTTGTCGCAAGCTCTTGTTGGGTAATTTGAGGATTTTGCACCAAAAGAGCTTGAAGAGCTTCTTGATCAAAATTGGACACATGGCCTCGACCACTCTTGTCATCTAACGAAAAATTTCCCTCACGAAATTTCTCAAACCAATGCTGGCATTTTCTGGCGCTAACTGCATCTTGACCAAGAGCACTACAGATGTTTTTTGCAGCCTCACTTGCTTTTCTTCCTAATTGGAACTCGTAAAGCATGCAGTGCCGAATATGCTCTTCATCCGCCATCTTCTTAGCCCTAGTTTTGCAACAAAAACCAAACCAAACACAAACTTTTTCAAGCAAAACTTGTTAATTGCACTTCACACGTTCTGTAGATACCACGTGTTTGAAGGTTATGTCAATACAAGTCAACGCCAAGCAAGATTTTAAACGAATGTTTAAAAACGACATTAATTATTACTAGACCCGATAGTAATAAGGATAAAATACAATATAGAATAAGTATTACAGTGTGGAATTGAAGTGTAATATCTGAAAGTATGGAATGTATTGTAACCAAATTGATAAGCACCCTTGAGTGGCCTGTATGTAAAAAATAGATAAAGTGATCTGTACCCTATATGTAAGATCAGATAGCAAGGCTCCTGGGACCCGCTTGATAACACATCTGAGCACTGAAGACACAGCTGAGCATATAAAAAGAGCAAGCCCCAGAGAAAATTAGAGACTCTTGTTCTGCTCCTCCACAGACGGTCGCTCTCCACTTTCCCTGCCTGCACCTGTCAAGCTCTGCCGGAGCCACGAGCCCCGAACCATGAGCCACAGACCGTGAGCCATCGCGAGAGGCCTCAACTGAAGCCGAGCCACAGCTGCAACGTCCTCCGTCAACCGTGTGTGTGTGCATGTGTGTGTGAGTGTGTGTGTGTGTGTGTGTGTGTGTGAGAGAGAGAGAGAGAGAGAGAGAGAGAGTGCAGATGCCCGGGTGGCCTGCCGAGGTCTGGAATCCATCAGGACTCTGGTAAATAAACCATGTGTGATTCGTGAATTGCATGTTTGTCTCCTGTGTAATTTATGCTTGGTGGATTATTAAGTACCTTGGGTCATACGTTTCAGATTACTGGCTGAGGCATCCTAGGTCACCTGTGCATAAGTCCCTTATGGAATAATTGGGACACTCCCTAGCCTTTTTTTGTGTGTGTGTCTAGTTGAGTTCTATGAGAACAGAGACTGTGTTTTGTTTTATTCACTGTTGTATTACTAGCACCTAACATAATACTTGACACAGAAAATTTATTAAATAAATATTTGTTGGAGGTTTGAATAAAATGTTACAGTTGGATTTCCTTTGGTTATCTCATAATCTGGAAAATATTTATTCCTTTATCTATTTTTTTTTTCCTTTGGAATAAAGTAAATCAGTTCAAGGAGTCTCAGAGCAGGAACACATACAACAAACTTTGCAGGACAACAAAAATTGTGAAAAGCATGGTTGCTTATTTCAATGCAAGTGAGTGAACAAGGAAAATCTTTCCCAATTTGTAGTTTTCATTTGATTTTGTTTATATAAGAATCAATTCTTGTTCCATTTGTTACTTAATATTCAAAAGTTAATTGCAAAATAGACACACTCTGTGTGCTCACAGTAAGGAAATTCAGAGAGAAGTACCTTGTGTCATTACCACATACCTTTCCACAGCTTCTATATTTAGCCTTGATGGAGAGAAAAAGCAATGATAAATAGCCCATGTTTGTGTAAATCCTGATCCATGTGCCCTCTGACTCCACAAATGACTGAGTGGGTGGAAGCATGCGCATGGATTGTGACAGTGTGTGCATAAATACTGTCACGTGTAAGGCCAGAAGCAAGTTACATAGAGAAGGCAAGTTACATACAAGTTGTCAGGACTCTAAATTGAAGTTTTGTTTTAATCAGGGCCCAAGAGAACCAAACCCACGTGAAGTCATGGCCCTTAACCACCCCTCACCCACATACTGAGAAGAGAATTCAGAAGCCCATTGCAGTCTTCTGGTCAGATTGTTTCTTGCCTCCACTTCGCTCTACCCTAGTAGACCTCTCTGTTCTTATTAAGGCTGAATGAAATCCTTGAATGTAAGATCATATCTTTATCGTCTTTCTACCCACACCACCCCAAAACTTGAGACTCCCAGGATTTATTGATAGTACAAAATTTAGTACATGCTCCATAAATGTTTGTAGACTGAATTAATGAATGAACCAATATTGCTCTGGCCAAACCTGCAGCTTCCACACCCTGCATAATTGCATGCAGTGCTGACCATGAAGATAGGAAAAGCAACATAACCAATGTTGTAAGAAAATGTTTCTTGTTTATAGGGCTGCATCTCGATCTTTGGCTGATCTAAGCACAAAGAAAGCTCTTTCAATTTAGAGAAAGGACGTTTATGATGTGTGGGAGAGCTAAGAACAATGGGCTCAATTGATACACTGGAGATGCTCTCAGCTTCTGAGAGCCTGTAAACTTCATCTATAGATCAGTCCCAGAGGGCAGAGCCAAATAAGGATAGACAAACACAGCTTTCTTGGGAACTGGCTTTCTGCTGTTCTGAGGCAAAAATATATTCACTCTATAACATTCTGAATCAATTCTTTAAAATACAGTGCTGTGTCTTTGCTAGTGTATAAAAATAAGTCCTTGTCATATTTTTATTCTTTTAGTCTTAAAGTCATCCAACCAGACTTGCTTGCAGAATATTAATTGTAGTGAAGCAGAAATCAGGAGATTAAATTGAAACTATTTTTGAACAGAGCTCCTTAGGTGATGATTGACTTGTTGCCCCCAGCTGAAGTCTCCTTGATCTCTAGTCATGTTCCTTGCCAGCTGCAACTATGAGACAATGAATCTATAATGAATTTTAAGCGAGTTTTCTTTAGGCTGGTCATTAGAGTACTACCCAAAAGTACCAAATGCTAGCTGGGCATTTAATGCTATGTCCCAATGACTAGTGGGTTGGCCAATCATAGTACTATATGTCACTAATCATTTTATTTTTTAAAATATATTTTATTGATTTTTTACTGAGAGGAAGGGAAGATAGAGAATTAGAAACATCGATGAGAGAGAAACATCAATCAGCTGCACCCTGCACACCCCCTATTGGGGATGTGTCTGCAACTAATGTACATGCTCTTGACCAGAATTGAACCTGGGACCCTTCAGTCCACAGGCCGACGCTCTATCCACTAAGCCAAACTGGTTAGGGGAGATGTCACTAATCATTTTAATACTGTCCTGCCATGAACTAAATTTATATTGCTCTTACCATATTTACTCTGCTTTGACATTAAGCCTTTCATTCAATACTTTCCAGATACATGAGAATTACTCATGTATGAAACATTAAGGGCTCACTATTGAAAAATTCAAAGAGCTAACAATAACATAATTCTAAAGACACTGGAGATGGGCACTATTATTCTATTAAAGAAACCATGTTTGAGTTCAAATTATCAGACCACTCTAAAACCCAACTTAGGAGAAAATAAATCCTATAATAGGCAATGAATTGGTATCAAGATCTGAATTCTAGTCCAAGCTCAGAAATGTATTTTTGAGGTTAACTTATTTTTCCTCTATTTCTTAGTGTCACCAGCTATAAAAACAGAAGTAATTTATCAACTCCTTTTTATTTTTTTAATATATTTTATTGATTTTTTTACAGACAGGAAGAGAGAGGGATAGAGAGTTAGAAACATCGATGAGAGAGAATCATCGATCAGCTGCCTCTTGCACAACCCCTACTGGGGATGTGCCCACAACCAAGATACATGCCATTGACTGGAATTGAACCTGGGACCTTTCAGTCCGCAAGTCAATACTCTATCCACTGAGCCAAACCAGTTTTTGGCTATCAACTTTATTTTAGAGAATTGTGAGAATGACTTGGATGAACTGAAGAAAAAAAAAAATGAATGAAATCCTTGAACACAGCACAATAAAGATACAATTATTCAAATCAAATCATGGGTTAAACAGAACAATTCACTCAGAGGACACAATGTTTGATTGAGAATATTCTTAATTTTATTTTCTTTAATTTTATAAAATACATTTTGTAAGATAAGTTTCTAAAAGTTTATCCTTTATGTGTGTTAAAATTGAAATTCTATATCAGAAATGAAGGAAACTCTTGCAGTTGATTAACCCTCTTTGTGTGTGTGTATGTGTGTATATATGCCCGGGAGGTTTTTAGGGAAGAGTTGGTTATTTGTTATGCTATTAAATCAAAACAAAACACAAGGTATGGATTATTTCACTTTCCTTGATCTTGATTGGTTTCTTACAGAACTTTTCCCATCTCCTCCCTCTATGCAGCCTAGAAGCTTATCTGGTATACTGGTCTAAAAACAAATATCAAGTGTCTTTTTTAAAAGACCTTACACCTCCTTAAACATTGCTGAAACCACTTTGGGAGAAAAATATGCAACTCTTTACAACAAAAGAGCTGTCTACTGTCATACCCATAAAACCTTTCCTTCAACAATGACCAATCAGCCTTTTATATTTTAACCCAAAGTTAATAAACAAGAAAGAGAAGACTAAAGCCTGGGAGATATTCAGGTTTCAAAATCTTTCCACCTTTCCTTTTCTGTGGAAGCTTGCCAGATGAATAACTAACAGCTGGTGTATTCCGTTTAGTGATCTATACCAGGAGAGAATAACCTGCATGTTAAATCTGACTCTTTAACACACCAAGGTAACATCATTAAATTAAATCATCCCTCACTAGCTAGAAAGAACAATCAATTAATTATTAAAATAAAAAGGTTATTCAAATTGAGATTAAAATTCACCAAATCTGTTTCTGCAAAAGGCAGAATAATTTACAGAAAATTCCAGTAGATGTACGGAACTAGCCAATTTTACATATCATTTGTGATGTTTAATGTCCAATTTTCATTAAAGAATCATATTCAAAGGGTCATTCTCCAGACCTTTCTGATACAGCCCTGACCAAGTGATAAAACTGGAAAATGTGAAATATACATCAATCTGAAACAAATCAAGATCTTCAAATCATCTACAATGACTGAATAGATAATACCCTATGAGAAGAGCACCATTGTGAAGATATGACAGCGGCCAGAGTACACAAGTAATTAACAGAAAAGAAAAAACAAAAACGCATGCTATCCAAAGAGTTATCTATCTTGTGTATACCAGAGGGCTGGCTCCATTTACACCATTAGCCACTAACAACTGCTGTTACTTAAGCCAGTCTTTTTTCATCTGAGCTAGTTTTCCTCTATTCTCAGCTCCTTGGAAATCACAGGGTTGTCATTGGTAGTTGTTCTCAAGTAGAAAGGAATGAGACAATGCTGACAACACCGTTTCTCTTCTTTAACGAGGTGTAAGGCAAGGTGCCCCCTCTGTCTACACAGACACTATGCTCCCTTATGCTGTAAGTAAGGTTGGCTGAGTTAGGGCTTAAATAGTCCTTTGCCATTGGGGTCAGTGCTCTCTTTCTATGGGTGAAAGATCCTTGCTTTGACCCCCTTCTCCCAGCTGCAATAGGTAGATTTGGGCAAATGCTCTTATTGTTTTACTGGCATTCTTTTTCCCCCCTTCTATTTTCAGCGGTAATAGGGAGACAGGACTGAGCTCTCTGTTTTGCACACCAAAAAGATATTTGGTTCCTATAGATGATAATGGTGCTAGGTACATTCCTTCTCTCTACTTGAGCATCTTTCTTTCCACTTTGTTTCCATCAGTGGAAGTGCCCATTGAGAAGAAAACACTTCTTGGTCCTCAGGAGATGCTTGTAAGTTGAAGTAGAGCCTCTGTTTCTTTGTGACTTTCAGTGGTGGAGTCACCATCTTAAGCATTTCCCATTTCTAGCAGGAAACAGCTGTGAAGCAAAATGACTAAAAGAGGAATATAAGAGGGGAGAGTCCACAGAGAGACATCAATCACCACAAGATTCTCCTTTCTTGTTACACTCATCAAGTAAGAAGAGGGCCAGTCAGTGGTAAAGGCAAAGAGTTAACATGGGAGATGCAGCAAAGTAGGCTGTGTGGTTAGAGCCTTGCTGTTAGAAAAAGGGAAGTTCCTACAGACGATCAGAACTTGGTGCCTCGGCCCATGAGTTTAAGGACAGCAAAGTTGTAAGTGGCAGCAATCATGAAGGTGAGCTGTAAGAAACAGAGAGAGAATATGAGTAAGAGTAGAAAAGGAAGCTTTCTCTCTCCTCCAGTCCTTTTGGGAATGAAGAAGTGATAAAATAGCACAGCCATAGTGGCTCAATGGTTGACTGTCAACATATAAACCAGGAGGTCATGTGTTCAATTCCCGGTCAGGGCACATGTCCCGGTTGTGGGTTAGATCCCCAGTGGGAAGAGTGCAGGAGGCAGCTGATCAGTGATTCTCTCTCATTATTGATGTTTCTATCTTTCTCTCCCTCTCCCTTCCTCTCTAAAATCAATTGAAATACATTTTTAAAAAAGAAGTGATGAAATAAAATCATAGCTATTTAAATAAAGGAAAAATCCCTGTTCTATAAAATGCAGCATGTCCCAGGTTTTTGTCCTATATACTTGACTAGAAGTCCTTTCTGAAATATTTTCTTCCAATGTCGCAGGTCCAGAGAACAACTCAGCCTGATTTATTCCATATTACACTTGGCCTAGCACTGACTTTTCCTGAGGGAAATGTAAATAATACATAGGTTTGCCATCATCTTACTTTCATGTCTGAGTAGCCTGGAATCATAGAGTGCTTGCTGCAGACACACAGCCACACTGTGCAACACAGCCCTCCAGTGCATCAATTTATTTTACAAAACGAGAAACAATTAGACTTTATAAAAACCTCAGCAGTGCCGAAACCGGTTTAGCTCAATGGATAGAGCGTTGGCTTGGGGACTGAAAGGACCCGGGTTCGATTCCGGTCAAGGGCATATACCTTGGTTGCGGGCATATCCCCAGTAGGGGGTGTGCAGGAGGCAACTGATCGATGACTCTCTCTCATCGATGTTTCTAACTCTCTATCTTTCTCCCTTCCTCTCTGTACAAAATCAATAAAATATATTTTAAAAAAAAGAAAAAAAAGGGAACATTCTCTTAAAAAAAATAAAAAAATAAAAAACCTCAGCAGTAAGGGCCCAGAATTCTGTGAGATTATCCTTGCACATCCACCACTTATTCAATGACTTCAGATAAATTGTCTCACCCTTCATTGCACTAGGTTTTTAATGTGAACTGTGAATGCACTACATTGACACTGTGTTGTAGTAACACCAACAACGAACTTGGGACATAGAATCACATTATAGCAATAACAGTTCTCATACTGTTAGGGAGTCTTTCCCATCTTTTCAGGAGAGTAACTAAATCCCTTGGAAAGTGTACAAGATAGAGTCATATTTACAGTATATAGAATTTCAAGCTTTGGAATATTATGTTTAGTAATATTTCAGTGTTCTTGAAACTGATCTGACCAGGATGGGTTGGGAATTAACTGTAATGTAGATTGCAAAGCATTTGGCAATATTACATGCTCTATAAATGCCAAATATTTTCATTCTTGTCTGTGAATCTCTTACCTCCCCTTTCTTCATACCACTTTTCTTGTCCCTGCCTAATTTCTGAAGTTTTTATGCCCTGCCAACCGAAATAGAGGTATACAGTCTCTACACTTTGCTGTCTCTTCCCAGTAGCTTCTCTCCAGCATTTCAAGGTTAGAAGGAGTCTACCTTTTTGCCTTGCAGCATAGCTGAACACCAGCTATCCCAAGACCATTTATTGCCCAAGATAATTCAAAGGCAACTTACCAGTGAAACCAATGTGGCTGCAGCCCCCACAAATGCAGCAATAAACAGGTGGAAGGTCATTTGGAACTACAAGGAAATGCAAAAGGAAGAACTATTTCTTGCAACAGTAAAAATATGCTCTGCTGAATACACAAACACAGCTTTCTGAATAAATGCTGATATCTTTCTACGTGCTAATTATGCATCTCTAAATTGTCACTCCCTTAAGTGTAGGCCTTCCATTCCTAAGTGTACATCATAATACTCAGAACACAAAATACTCATAAAATACATATAAAATATTTAATCAACTGGTTTCTTATAATTGTGCCCAGGGTCCCAAAATTTAAATTCAGCATCTTGTTTTCAAAGAAATTATTCACCGCCTTCTTCCTCAGGATTACTTTTAATCCTTTGATTCATTTGTGTACAAGATCCTGTCTCAATACAATGTTTTCATTCTTCAAATGTACTGTTTTTACTTCACATTGGAGATTGAGAAATTCCAAACTGAAAGTGTTTTTGTAAAACCCATAAATATTTCTGTGCACAACCCATTTTCTTCATAAAGGTTTTAACTAAAAGAATAAAAATTTCCATTTGGGGGATTTTACCATTAAGCTCTGTCTATACTTAATGCTACAAATTTCTTTTTTAAGGCACAAAGTCTTAAAATGGAAAGCATTCTATGCAGCTCTAGGGAACATACATATTTTAATACCTATGCTCATTGGATCAGGCACACTGAATCAATATTTTTGTAGAAAACAATCTGCCAACTCAAAATCGAGCAAAGAGAAACTGTGGTCCTTAAAATTAAAGGCCATGGGGAGGAACTTGTATGGTACTAGCCATTCCACTGTAAAGTAACCCAAACGGCTCACTCACCTCAGCTGTTTTGCAGATGGACAGAAGGTTAGAGCCACACACCTTGCCAGGAAAAGCATTCCATGGGAGAACACCTAAGTAAAATGCCCAAATAAACTAAGGTGAGCTTCATGGACTTGTAGGGCTACATGGCTACTTTCCTTCAGAGTCTTTCTTCCAACTTTAATCATCCTGGCTGAAAATTTGATCCTACTAACAATCAGGATTCTCTTTTCTAAGGATTTACCAAAAAATAGAAAGTGGTATTGAACAGTTGTGAAATCTTATATTTGTTATTGAAATTTACTGCTTGGAACAGCAGTCAAATAGGGTAGAGCAGTGTATACAGTCAAGAAATACCCCCCCTTCCAAGAAGTTTCTTTCAAAGGGAAGAAATCTCTCCAGTTTGAGTGGTGAGGGTTTAATAAATGAAGGTCCCAAGCATCCCTCTTCTTTCCCCCATAATTATCACCCCCCCTTACCCCAAATAAAGAACTAAATTAATATGCTTCCATAAGAGGATTGAGAAGCCAAGACACCCATGCACTAACTCACCATACATTCTGGCATCAGCACAGAGACTGCCTATACTGGCAGAGGTCTTGCTGGGGAAGGCAATAGACTGGCAGGTGGTCCAGGTGTTGAAGTAAATGTACACAGGCACAGCAGAACAGGCAAACACCAGTAGCCACACAATGGTCAGGGCATAGGTGATGCCAACAAACTAAAACAATTGACATGGTGTGATTAGAAATGAGCATTAGCCTGTAGACATGGAAACACAAACTGGGAGATCCTGGAATGGTATGTGTCAGAAATTGAACCAAATTCCAGAGATCTCTACCACATGAAATTAGTAAGCAGGGCATCTCTGCCAAATGTCATTGGCAGTTTCTACTAGAGAGCTGGCCCTGGGTGTGACAGCGGGTGGCAGGAATGGGTGGGGATTGGAGTGAGAAGGATCCCTGGGTTAGAGAGGTTTCAGGAGATTTGTTGGGCAGATAAAGTGTGAAAAAATCAAAACAGATCTTGAAAGAAAGTCGTGCCATTTCTTGCCTTAGGCTGAGCTTAGAAAATGTTTCTTGTCACAGAACTTTTGATCCCTAGTCATTAAACAAAGCCAATAGGAAATTTAAATTTCAGATTAAAAAACCAACACTTTTCTAAGCCAACTGCTGACCACAAAAGACATCACCACAACCCACAGAAGTTTAGCCCCCAAAGGAACCTTTAACTCTAGAGGCTGAAAACCAATGTGTGCCTCAGTAGAAACATAAATAGCCCCAGTCAAAGATGAAGCATTAAATATGTAGATTTATCCTAGTTCCCCTGGGACCTTCAACAGTATAGAATCCCAGAATATTGTGAATTCCACCTTGGAGTCAATTATTTAATTTCCATGATCCATCTTCCCTCTAAGATTAGCTACCTACATTTCAGTCCTATGGGTAGCATTTTAGATTCTTGGGTAGTCATATCTCTTGTTTTGGTCCCTCCTAGAAGGGGAGTAAAGGGATCAACAGATGGCTTAGAAATGGTCTGATTGTACAAAGTAACCTACAAAACTCATGCTTTTCATTTTGAGATGAAATTTTCTAGGGAACTTTTCAAGGGTGAGGCTAAGCCAGCTAGGCACCACGTTCTTCCTGACCTCGTTCGGCTGCAGCCATCACTTCCTCACTGAAAGGCCAGGCACCTAGAAAGGGCCTAGTCTTGGGTGAGGGTGAGGCCACAGACTCACACCCAATTGTCCCCCACCCCTTGTTATTGCCACAAAATCCTGAGGATGATCACCTTGTCGGGATGTCCTAGCCATTTTCCCAAACAATGACACACCCGCTCCAAAGAATGAGCTTGATGTTGGCCTCTGGAACCCCTCCCCTTCTGGCCCCCTGTTACCGTTGCACTGAGGCCCTTGCCGCAGATGGTGGTCTTGTAGTCGCCAAAGATCTGCCTGACTGCACCGGTGGTGTAGAAGCCCTCAGCCAGCAGGAGGGCCCCATAAAGGAAGAAGAAAGAGGCAGTTCCATAGATGACATACTGGAAGGCATGGATCCTGCATTAACAGATAAACAAATGAGACCAGAAAAATCTTATTAATTGAGGAACCAGTTCCCTTCCTGCGTAAGTGAGATGGACATTTAAGTGAGCACTTAAACAAGATTAGGAAGTCTTTAGAGGGATCACAAATCTCTATCTCCATGCTTCCACCTTGTCTGGATTGAAGTAAAAGAAGATAGGGAATGGGCAGCCAGAAACACATGCTCCTCAATCCACACCTTACTCACCCTATGACCTGAACAACCCGAGCCCTAGTCTCCTTCGCCTGACCTTTTAAAGATGCTCCTTCAGAGGAGAGAGGAGTTGGACAAGAAAAGTGATGAGGACCCTGGCTGGTTTGGCTCAGTGGACAGAGCATTAGCCTGCGGACTGAAGGGTCCCTGGTTCGGTTCCGGTCAGGGGTACATGCCCAGGTTGTGGGCTGGTCCCCAGTGAAGGGCATGCAGGAGGCAGCCAATCAAAGATTCTCTCTCATCACTGATGTTTTTATCTCTCTCTCTCTCTCCCATTCCCTTCCTCTCTGAAATTAATAAACAAATATATATATATATATATATATACATACACACACACACACACACACACACACACACACATATATATATATATATATATATATATATATATATATATATATATATATTTTTTTTTTTTTTTTAAAGTGATGAGGAAACAGGAATCTAACTAGCACTAGGAATAAGAGAAGCTAAAACTGGGTATATATATATATATATATATATATATATATATATATATATTTTTTTTTTTTTTTAAAGTGATGAGGAAACAGGAATCTAACTAGCACTAGGAATAAGAGAAGCTAGGACTGGGTATGTGCAGACTCAAGTGGGGTATCAAACCAAGAACAGTGGCCCTACTTTGTCCAGGCATTTTACCTCCCCCAGAGTTCTCTAAATCTATCACTTTGGAGTCTCCAACTCAGTCAATATTAACCCTACTGAGCAAAATTTATAATGCATAGAAGAAAACAAAGGGTAAGAGATTGGCTAGCAGGTAGACCTCTACTTTCTGAACTTGGCACATTTTTCTTATTTGGGGGCTCAGATGTGGAGTTGTGGCATAGGTGGAATCTGCACCCAGAGGAAAGACTCAGGAATCCTTTCCAGTGCCACATCAATCCCCTGCTTGTCACTAAGTTTGAGTTCTGTATCTCCAAGATAGAAAGAAAAAGAGAGGGATTTTTATGGAATGACAGGTACTTACACATTAATGAGATACTCATAGTCCTGGTAGTTTTTGGAGAAATAGGTTTCAATTAGTTTTTCTGTACCAGTGAGGGCTTCATGTCCACAGCCACAGAACAGTGCCACCCCAAAGAAACACAATCCAGTGGCCACCAGGGAGGCAAAGGGGGCCCCTACGAGACATCTTGCACAGCACTCTAACAAACCTGGGGAAGAAGAAGGGGAAACAATCAGGAATGCACAAAAGGAAGGTAATGCCATTCTTACCTCTCTGCCAGACTTGTGCTAGCATGCATGAATGAAGTCTCACCCCAGAGCCCAAAATCAGGAGAGTCTAGAACTTTAGGCTACTGCAATGTGAGACTGACCCCAGAACCATACTTTGTTCTATTCTTGAAAATTAGTCCTTTCTTTTAATTCCCAGAATTTGTGTGTGTATGGGAGGGGGGGATATTAATAATCAATAATTCAAGTAGCAAGCCAAAGAGATTATGCAATCATTCCCTCATGTCTTATCATTCTTATTTGTTTGTTTTAGTCATCCATCAACTCTTATGGAGTACCTACTATGTGCCTAGCATTGTGCTAGGTGTTATATGAGATGTGAAGACATAAACAACAGATTCAGTCATATGGGAATCTTGTTTACTGAGAAGAATGAGTTTGGTAGAGGATAGCTCCCTCTGGTCTCTTGGCCTGATCCCCAAAAGGTTCAAGAAATAAAAATGTTAATCTCTTTAGAAAAGTTATTTGTATATATACATACACAATATACAAATATATACACAGATTTTATATATATATATATTCATATATCATATATGTATATATGATATATATGTGTATATGATATATGAATTATTTGTACATATATACTAGTACATACACACAAATAATCAGCAAGTGTGTTGAAAAGTGCTATTTTAGAAGAACATGTTGGGACTTCTTACAAAAGAAAGTAAATTGTGTTAATTTTTAGGTTTGGATTTTCATCCAAAGCTCACTTGTCTATACCAGGGTAGCGGGGACTAGAGGACTCCTTTGCCCAACCCTATTCATATCAGTACAGCTTCCTTTTATCTCTGAGTGCTTAACCTCTGGTGATTTTCATGTCAGAATTACATCAATGTGAACATTTTCTGAAGGACCAAATTATCTCTATCATGGAAAATTGAGATAGATGCATTTGTTTGTTCCCAAAATGAGTGAGTCCTACACCCACCATCCCCTAAAATGACAGTCCTTCCTTAGTCCTCAAAGAGTCTCTTCCTCAAAGATTCTTATATATCATAGCAGAGATTAAGCATGGAAGCTCAAGCCAAGAAAAGTAAGTAGTTGACATTTGTAGCAGAACTGAATTTTCCCCCAAGAATTGTTGTCAGAAAACTTGGCCTCTATTGGAAGCAATATGTAGCTGTGATACAATAAGTGAATGCAGAGTTTGCTTAGCATGAATTTTACAACAGTTCCTGGTAAGAGTGTCTCATCAAAGTGAGATTGTGGCGCACACACACACACACACACACACACACACACGCGCGCGCGTGCGCGCCCATACATGCAAATATGAATACATATGCATGTGTATACCAAAAGAAAACACATTTGAAGTTGATCATTATTCTTAAGAAACATACTAAATACATATTGTAAGTCAAGAAAAGGAGCTTTGAAATAAATAGTGCTGCCATCTTCCTTCTCTGTCTCTCCAAGTCTTCCCCGCCCCCAAACTCTTAGACTCTCCTAGTAAAGAAGTTCTCTGAAGCCTGGGTTTAGGGGAGGGGAAGGTCAGTGACCCCACTGTTCCCTCTCTCCCTAGCACAGGGTCAGGGCTTGGACAGAGCCCTCCATAGCTCCCCCAAACAAAGAAGCCTTGTTTCTCCCAGAGATCTCAGGAGCCTCATTGGTATTCTGTAGGGGCCCACAGGCCTGGGGGTGGGGTGGGGTCATGCCCAGAGAACAATGGCAGAACTGTTTGTTTAGAGTAAGGAGAGCCATTCACCCTAGCAAGTGACTATCCTGTGCCCACTCACTCACCCCAGCTTTTTCACCCTGCGAATGGCTAAATGGTGGTGCAGGTGTAATCAGGGATGGAATAACTTGAACACTTGCTAACCAGAGAATTCCACTCTAAGTTTTAGCTAATGCCCACTCCAGTGTTGTAAAGATGAAGGAAAATTCTCTTAGTGTATCTGATCCCTTGATCATCTCCACCTAACCAGAGAGTATCATATGTATTGTTCTTACTGGGTGATAAAAGGCTAAATCTTGGAAGCAACTCTGAATCACCAACTGATACTCTTCCTTTTCATGTCCGTTTTTCATCTATTTTCTTAGAGCTCAAATAATTTAGTAAGTTCCTTTCTGATCTACTGGCACTCAAAGCAAGGGACAAGAAGGACATAGGTTTTAATGATTCTCTAACATGAAGTCAAAAATATAAATGACCCTGGATAAATCTATCATTGTTGAGCTATGAACAGTTCAACAATATTGGCATAAGCATCAGATGTTCATCTCTTCACAATTGAAATGAAGTGTTTGTTCTGTGGGCATTTAAATTAATCAGAAGTGAAGAATTTGTCAATCCAATTGAAATAAAATCAAATTTGGAGTTCCAACTTGGAAAAACTCAGAACATGCAAGAAATTGTGTCTTAATCAAAGTAGTTGACAATCAAAATATTCTGAGAAGGGTCCATTGGTATACTTTCATTTTTCACAGCCCAAGAAATGTCCATGGGAATGTGGGAACAAGAGCCTAAAGCCATAGGCTCTCCATTTCAGAATCCTTCATGGCTGGAAGGGTACTAGTGTGATTCAGGAAGGCTATTTTGGAGGAATTTTGGAGAAGTTCCTTATCTCTCTCAAGAGACAGTCTTACATTTTCAAGGCTAAGTACAGTCTGCAACATAATAGAGTTAGCATAAAAATATATATAGTAATAATATTATCCAATGTAACTCAGTTCAATTAAACCAATCAAGTTTGACTAGAGGTCATAGAGAAAAATAATGACCCACATCCAGTGTTTTCCTTTCATTTCTATTTATGTAGATTCAGTACAGTCATTAAAAGCACATTAGCAGTTACCTAGATCCTATAAGATACAAAAGGGAATTAATTATAAGGCCCAGTCATTTTCTTCAATTTTCTTTCAGTCTTGTTAGAGAAAACAAACTTATGTCTGTGATTCAAAGACCAAAGCTACTTATCATCTTATGTTAAAATGTATATAACCAAACCCTGTGGGCAAAATGCAAGCAAAGGGGAAATATTCATGGTTGGCTAGATTTATCTGCAAACTCCCAAAACTAGTATAGTCGATCTGTGATAGGACTTTAAGCCTTTCTCACCAATGTTCTTCACAGGAGTCTGAAAAAGGTTGACAGCATTATTGTGACTCTTACTCAGGTCCATGTCCATCCAAGAGACTGTGTTGACCCTGATGCTGTCTCTTTAATCAGACAAGCCCTCCATTCTTTCCCATGCACTGGGCATGCCTCAAGGACCAGCTCCATGATGGTAATTCTGTGTGAATCTGGGAACTCATCAAAGGGAGGAGAGGAAGGGCCTCATTGAAAGGGATGGTAGAAAGAGACCGATTGTGCTTTGCACAGGCCCAGCCTGTCCCTTTAATCCAGCTGACAAAGGGAGAGATAGAACCCTATACAATTGAACTAAACAACAGGCAGACTTATTGAGTAAAAAACTGGCCCTATCTCCCTAGGTCTCTAATCTGCACTTATCCTCCTCCCAGAACCCACCCCTTAACCTCACCCCATGAACAGAGGCCTCCTTGATCAGGGTCTATAACCAGTTGACAGGGCCAAGATGCTAGAGCAGCCGTGACTGGTACTGGGGATGAATGGGGATGGGGGGTGGGTACTAGGAATAAAGCAACAATCAGCAGGAGGTACTAGTGGCAAAGACATTTGCTTCTGGTCTTATCCTGGTCAGACAAGGCTCTGCCTATAACCTTGTCTTTCCTACGTGAAATCAGCACTTATACAACATTTAAAGGCTGGAAAAGGGCCCTATAGTCACGGGACATGACAATACAAGCCTGCTAAATAAACAAGTCATATGGATAGAGTTAAATCAAAAGGAATCTCAGCCTCCTCTTTGAACGGGTATTACTATTACCATGGCAACAGCAACTGGAGCACCTTGTTTCCTATACTCCCTGCTCCTTCCCAACACACACACACACACACACACACACACACACACACACACACACACACACCATTTATATCCAAACTTTGGGAGACTGGAGTAGAAGCTTTATTGTTAAACTCTATCCATGCACTGTCTTCAACTTGCCCACATATGGAAAGGTGAAAAGGAAGCAACTGACACTAAGCTAAGAGACTATAGTTTCCACACCTTATTCCTTAGGTCAGTCTCATACTAATTTTTCCTCTATTATTGGTTGTATTGCAAATCTGATCTGGGGAACTTTGTTGTCTTCCTTGGGATATCACTGACTCTTTTTCAGAGTCAATCCTGGAAGAGAGCTCAGAGGCCAGCACAGAGTAAGAGATCACTCTTAGGACCATTTAAAATAGCCAACGAGGAATTAATCCAGCAGTACTTGCTGAGCTTTTGATGTAAGTTTAGCACTGGTTAGGCCCTGACAGTGAAAAGGAAGGAAAAGCTGCTATGTTTGCCTGCCATTATTGATGTGACCTTTCCTGATCATGTCACTACCCTGACTAGATCTTCCCTGGACCTGAATATCTATGGGCAAGGACGGTGTTTTTACTGTTGCTTTCTGTCAAGATTAGAACTATACCCTGATGATAGTTTTCAGGGCTTCAGGATATTACACAAAAATGCAACAAGAGAAAAAAGATGCCTCTGACTTGGGGGTCTGCCTTGATGGTTTTGAAGACTTTATTTCCCCTCCAATCCATCTCCCAGGGGTTTCTTGAGCTTTGTTACTAGTTAGATAGCTTTGAAAGAATAGGTCTAATTGTCAGACTATTGAGTAAACTGGCTTTCATAGTGCAGAGCCAAGATGAAAGCCCCTTGAAGCAGAGCAGATTTTTACATCTGTCTGGCTCTCTAAGAGTTCCTCTGGCTCTGTAGGACCAAGGTGAGGAATGGGGTGTGTAAGGCTATCCACGATCATTTCAGTAAGTGTCTCTAAGAAGAGTAAGTGAATATGCTGGTTTGGATCTGGTTTCTTTTTAGCTCCTGGCATTCTTGTAGCATTCTTGGAATCAGGGTGGGATTCAGTTAGTCTTCAGGCATTTTGTAAAACTGGACCACTGCTCTGCCTCCACTCTTTTTGCTTAAGCTACACCCACTCACTCCGAGCCAGCCAAAACTACACTGCTCAGCAAACAGCCACCTTTGGAGGGAAACATCACAGGCTGTTACCAGGGTGACAGCCACTGTTCTCAGACAACAGATGTACAATAGCCAATGTTTTGCTGTTCAGTAATGGCATTGTATTACTGAGCAGAGAATAATCAGCTACTGCTCTTCGACTCTTTTCTGGTTCCATTGTCATCCCAAAAATTCATTTGGAATATCCTCCTCCAAAATTGGGACAAGTTTTAAAGAACTACCATTTCCCCCATAAACCTTTTGTGCAGACACTACTGAATTCAGTGTTCCTCTTAAATCTTGAAAGAAAGCTTCCAATCCTACAGGATTCTATATGGTTGAGGTATTGAGGTCACTATTTCTGGAGGTAATTAAGTCAAAAGGCTGTGGGAATATTTAATTGGCTGTTGTAAAAGGGACTATTGCATTAAGATTTGGCTCAGACAGCTTCTAAAGTTCCTTCTAACCACAGATTTCATGATATAATTCATCTACTAGCACTGACAAAGTAAATTTAACAATTTACTTTCAAAATTGTTAAATAGCCACACACTTTCATCCCCAGAGGAAATAATATTCAGTACCCTTCTTTGCTCCCTCTCCATTTTTAAATCACAACCTACCCAAACAGCTTCCATGATATCAGGTAGGTTTTCCAATATTACCGTGGGCAAGAATTGAGTTTCTTGAACATTCACCTTTTACCTGGCCACATTCAATTGATCAAATAATTCTTACTCAACTGCACAAAGTACAGAAAAAGAAAAACCAAACACTTTAGAAAATACAAGTCATCCTGTACATGAGCTATTGTATAATAATGGGTATCATCATGATTTATAATGGATATACAGCTTGACCATTTTCAAAGGACTTTCACATCAGTATTACATGATTTTCACAACCTTGAAAGTATACAAAACAGTTATTGTGATCCCCATTTTCCAGATGAAAAAGTGATAATTCACAATGACCCACCCAAGGTCATGAAGTTTATACATGACAGATCTGGGATTTAAACTTAATTGTATTGTCTCTAACTCAGTGCTCTGCCCTCTTAATAATCTTACCTGAATACATGATGAAAAGAGCATGTTTCAGGATAAAATAACCTAAAAGCTGGCACAGCTTAATAGAGTTGAAAACCTATCTTCCTGGATGTTGCTGGAATCTTCTGGATACTACTACATTAGATGGTGAATACACAGAGAAATTGATTCTCATTTTATGTAGGCTGCATTCAAGCTTTTGCCACATATAAGCAATGTCTACATGTATCTGTGGCACCCTGTGTCACAATTTGCTCAGAGTGGACACTACTAGAGACAAGACCTCCTAGCTTATCTCTTTATTTATGAAACCTGTAGAAGCCCTTGGTACTCAACCAAATCAACAAGAGTCCTAAGAACCCAGAAGCCTCCTTATCATAGAGGAATTTAGAGTTTGGACTATGCCTTCAGGAAGGCTAACGCTGTTATATTTGCAAAACATGGGCAACCATACATGTTCATACATTCACACACACATACATACACACTTACTCATATCCATTCCCCATGGTAAAGCCATTGAAGACTTTATTTTCATTTTCTGAACTTAAGATTTACCTCCTTGGCCATGGCCAATCCTGAATCCATCTTGCCTTGTTCTCCAATTTCCCACTATAGCCAAATGTGGTTCAAATTTTGTATGAAGCAAGCAGTTATTTAGTACATCTGAGGGGTACCCAACAATCCGTTGCCTCCAGAAGAGCCAGGATGTCAGCTGACCTGGCCATTACCAGAGCCCAGAAACCAGGGGAAAAAAGAAGGTAGAAGGAAGTGGGAGGGTAAGAATACACATGATCACATCCAGCCCACTGGGCACTCTCTCTATGGATCTGTGGAACTGTCCACGTGCTGCTGGAATTATTTGGCAATAAAGCATCGATCTCAATACAGTAGAAACAGAGTTTATCAAATTGGGTACTAAGGAATTAAAAAAAAAAAAAAAGTGCCAAAGCACAACTCATTTAAACCATTGAAAAACCCCAAAACCCAAACTCATAAATACTATTGCATATTCCTGTGCCTGCTTAAATCTTCCATGCTAAAGTTTTTTAAACTCACCCATGACTTTTGGACTCTGACTCCAACTGCACCCGGCTGGCTAGTCTGCTTTGCGTCTTTGTTCAGTTGGAAGAATCCTGGTCTCTCCGGTCTCCTTCTCCTTCTTCGTTCCTTTACTTTTTCTCTCTGAGTATCTTTGTCCTCTTCTCCAGCAATGAAAAGGGCTTTCTGATTGACAGCCAACCCCCTTAAAGGGACAGGCCCACTTTCCTCCTCCTCTCCTCCTCCCCTTTTCCTCTTCTTGTCCCCACCTCCTCAGGGATACTCCCTTCTTTAAGGATTCCATCTTCTCTTTTCTGCCTTTCACTTCCAATTTTTTCTTTCTCTTTTCTTTTTATTTTTCTAAGACTTGCCTATGTGGAATTTTACTTTGCTGCAGAGACATCTGGAAATGTGGCTTGGGGCTAGAAATTAAAAAAATAAAATAAAGAGGTCCTGGAAGCCTACAACTGATACTTGGATCTATTTGCTATAGGATGTGGCAGCACCAGTGTCAGAAGTCATGAAAATGGTAGCTTTGGTGAGGGGTCAAGGTAAAAAACTTAGATGCTATCTTCTAGAGTCCTTCCAACTCTAACCCCAACCGCAACCCTCACTCATAGCTTCCTTTGACTCTGTCCACATTTCCCCTCTCCCTACTCCTTGGCAAATAAGCACCCTCTCCCCTCCACTCAGCTTTAGAAACACAATAGAGGGGGAAAAAATTTGTCTTTTAAATAATATCCTCCAAATCCTCCAGCTGAATGAGGACAAAATACAAGCTATTGATTCCATAAACAGACTGTGACCAAGCAGGGGGAGGCTAGGATTGTATAATTTTATTGAAGGGATAACGGAGACCCAGAGAGGGGACAAGACCAGTTCAGATTCACAGAATAGACAAAAAAAAAAAGGTCAGTTAGGTATGTGGGTGATTTCCAAGGAGGATAATTGATTTTGAGAAAAGTTAGGAATATGATCTGAGAACCAGATAGTCAATATCCCATCCTGAGAATATAGTATCATCAGAGAGCTGAGACTAGCCTGGTGAGAGCTGAGACTAGCCTAGGGAGGGTGTGGGTTGGGTCGAAGCAGTGGATGCCAATGAGAATGAAGAGAAAGAGAAAGAAAATATCATGCTTGCCTCAGGGAAAGAAATACTAAGAAAAAATGGCAAAGCAGCAAAAATATGGGACTAATATATTAAATATGCCTTATAAAAATAGGTTTTTTAAAAAGACTATCAGGATATTTGAGTGCCAAGTTAGATTAGCATAGGAAGGTTTTCTAAACAAGATGAATCTTAATCAGTGTCTATATAGGCTCTTTGTTATTGTTCTTTATCCTTTCAGGAGCCTCAGAAAGGCATAGTTCTCTTGTATTTGAGGCCTACATCCTCCCGTTGATGGCCTGTAAAGAAGTTGGTTGGCATGTAACTGGAGGAGTACCTGTTGGAAGACTTCATGGAAAGAAGGTACAGGCTACCAGAATGTTTCCTATGGCTTTGCCTTGTAGTCAGAGAGGAGAGGCAGGAGGTGCAGAGCAGAGCCTAGACTCTTTTTCTGGAGAGAGCAAGGCAAGATTGTGTCTCAGAGTTCTCTCTCTGAGCTGTGACCTTGGACTTGTTTCTGGCTTGGGCTTTGCTGTTAGAAGGATGAGTCTTCTACAGATGCCCTTGTGGGTTCACCTGTGTCCTGTGTCCTGTAGTGTTTGAGGCTTGTTCAGAATTTTAGAACCATAGATCCTTTGCTCTTATACCAGCCCCAATGAGAAAGGATCCCTTGTAAGTGCTGCTCCTACTATAGAACAGTATAAAAGTAGCTTTCCAAAACAGATGAGACTAAGGTAGAAGGTCCCAGGACCCCTGACCTTACACCAGCCCTGCTTTTCAGCCATAGACTCTGCCTGCTGAGGAAGCTGAGTCATACATAGCATTGTGACAAAGGTTACTTTCTGAATGGTTCTTGTCAAAATGACCCTGGAGGAGAGGGAGGATCAAGAGCAAGAAGTCCCCAAATGTGTGCCCTCAGCTCCTCAGATGACAGAAAGAAAGGAGTCCAAACTTTGGGGCTTCTGATTTAGGGATGAGAGAGATGGATTTTCACAGCTTGAGTAGATGAGATAGCCCTGCATGCAAGAGAGATTGCTCAGGCTGAGCCTTCTCATAAATCTGCCCTGGACTCTCAGCAGCAGCTCTTGGAACTACTCAGAAGAAAAAAATGTGTTCCAAATAAACCCAAAGATACCAAATTTTCAACCACATTCACCTAACGCACATACTGTATCTCTTCCTTTCCTCCATCTCTATTGCCTTATTACACATTTTGTCTTCTTCCCAAGGATCAATCTCTTCACGTCTCTGTTTCTCCATCTCTGTCTATGTTTCTCTCTATGTATTTGTTTCTCTTTCTTTTTTTTTTCTCTCTGCACTTCTTTACAGAGCATGTCTTCCTGTTCTTAAGCCCAGGGATGAGAAAGGGGCTCGGCCAGATGATTGTGTCATGCTCACTTCCCCAGTGCCTTAAGATTCCCAGCTCCCCAGAATGTAGTGTGTTGCAGTCACTCTGTAGTCCTAACACTCTGCCTCAGCACCACTAATAACCCCTTTCCTGATCCTTTCCCACAACCCTCATAGGGTTTCTTTCCAGGCCCACAAGGGTGTTTTAATCCACCCACCCCTACAATTTCTGTGATTCTGTTTCCAATGGTTTTGCTGGGTGTTGTTAGCAAAATGTCCTTGAGTCCAGCTGGGTCCCTGGCAGTGCCCAAGGATTCCTCAAGAGGGCACTACCAGCTTTCTTGGTGGCAGCCTCCTGCCTGCACTTTGTGCCTTTGGGAACAATGCAGGATTGTAAGAAACCAGTAAACAGATTGATGTATGCAATTCTCAGGGTTCTCAGAGGATCTGGGCCCCCTTGATCATAACTTGCTTTAATTGTATAGTTTTCTTGCAAACAACTCCAAAACACTTGGATATTACTTCCATTCTCTGCTCTGTTATCCCATAGTACCTGATTCGTAAAAGGCCCTAGGCAAGGAGACTCTCTTTGCTCCATATATACCCTAAATTCTGAAACTCAAGGAATTCTAGTGAATTTCTCCTAGAAAACTAAATAAGATCTCAAGTGACCAATTTGAGCACTTGAGGGCATGATCTATTTCTCTATGTCCACATAGATCATAAAGGTGAATGGAGAAGACATGGTATCAATAAAAGCCAGGGGTCACCTGCTAGCATTTGGGTTTCTAGAGCTGAGGCTTTGCTTCTCCTCCATAAGATAATGTCCTCTCAGAACAAACTTAAAACTTTTTGAGCCTGGGCACAGAAGACTGGTTGGCTGGTAAGCAGGCAATATATTATGCCCTATGTACTTGCCGATAAAACTTTTCACACCCAACTTCATACCAATAGGCTTGATCATGTCTTTCTGGACAAGAAAAGCGCTGAGGGCCAGAGATGTCAAATACTTTAAGCTGGTACTAGCAGGGAAAGTGGAGGCTGGTCTTCTCCTCTACTGAAGATTCAGGGAGAAGTACAAGGACAGATGGAGGCTAGTTATGAGTTGACTATTTGAGAGGGGGAGATGCCCATGGCTTGTGGTAGAGTGAAGGGTAGAGAAGAAAGCAAAATAATCAGATTAATATACTCAGAAAAGAAGTGCCGGGAGTGGGGGGGGTAACCAAACAGCTATTAGCAATGTGAAGAAAACAGATGTCCACATAATCTATCTTCACCGACATGAAAGCATGGCTAGGTATGGCACAGTAGCCCATGAAGAAAGGTGACATGTTTGATACGATCTCTGAGCACAGCAGAAATACTACTTAATAGATCCTCCCTTCCTCCAGTTGATGGACAGACATAAACCTCACCTGTGGCCAGACATTCCTGAGCTCTGAACCACCAATCAGCACCTGCCAAATACCCTAAGCCCCCGATTCCTAAATCCCTAGGTCCCTAATCACCAATCAGCGTGTGCTGAGTGCCCTAAGCCCAGTCCCCTTTCCTTAAAGGTGCTTGTACCCTGGCCCTCTCTCTCTTCCACCCCTCTTTCTGGAAACAGCCAACAGGGGTACTCCTTCCCTCCAATAAAGCCTGTGTCCTGCCATCCCGGTCTCTGGTCCCCTTCTTTATTTAATCTATCATGATGGGGCCAAACCTGGGTGAACATGGAAAATCCTCTGGCCCTGCTCGGTGGCATGGACCTGAGTTGATTGGTCTGTTCAAAACACCTCTGGAACCCTGCCATACCAGGACACGTGGGAATCTCGTTGCTTTCTTACCGGTAGGCCTCAGAGACCTCCCCCCTCCCCACCCTGGTTCCCTTGACCTGGAAGGGCCTCAGAGTTTTCTTGTCTACTCGGCTACACATTCTCCATTCACATTCTATAAAAGCCAAGGTGCCTGACTGGGAAAACTCTGCTCTACTCCACGGGAAAGGTTTCAGGGTGACGACTTTGGGACCTTTTCTCGTCACTTCTTATTCCCTCCCCAACTTCTCGGTGGCCCTTTCCCCTCCCGTCATGGGAACCTCTCAATCCAGACGCCCCTGAGGTGTCTTCTCGCCAATCTCTCGACCCTTGGTCTTTCTGTCTACATCGAACCAAAAAAGCTCATTTAAAACTGCACTTTCGATTCCTTGTAAATGGGCATTCTGATATCCTGATCTAGATAATTTTGCCACCGGACAAGGAAGCCTCAGAGATTCCTACGAACATGCTTCCCCTCCCCCTCTCACTCCTGCTCTCCCCACCTCGCTTTACTCCTCATGTTCTTCTATCAGCTGGAAATCCTCTCTGCACTCTCAAACCCCTTTCCCTGTCTTCTGACTGCTCTTTCTCTCCACGTGGCTCACTCCTGCCACCTCCTTACAACCTTAAACCTGTCCCTCTCTAACTAAGCACTTTTTCCCAGGTTGGTGCGGCGCCGGAGTGTGGGAGTCCTTGGCAGACTCAGGGAGTAGTTTTCATTTTTTTTCCCTTCAGCTGCGGTGGCCACGGAGCCAGAAAGCGGCAGCTGGCGTTTGCAGGCCCCTCCCTGCGCAGCTCCTCCTAGTCCCGCCCTTGTAGGGTGGGGCATTCCTACCTGAGAATTCTAACTGCGTCCACCTTCCCGTGCTCTCCGCCTTCCTCTGTGCTCTCCAGCCTAATCTCTGCTCTTGTGGCCTCCAGCAAAGGAATTCACA